GTTACATTAATAGTGATACATCTTCGTCTGCATTAATACAACTAAAGTGTGAGAAGCGGCATTTCTACTTTTGTATTGAAACATTCAAAGCAACGCTAGAATTAATAGTTTAATTTGAAGTGACACGCATACTTTTGCATCGATACAATTACATGTAACTTCAACCTCGATACATCTAAAGTAATCTTTCAATTTAAGCATCGATGCATCAGATAAATAAAATAAGTAGATAACATCATATCCATGTCACAAGTTAACTCAAAGATCAGCCTTTTGTCAACATTCTGCACTGTTTGCAATTCAATCAGACTATCTAAAATGATGAATAGTTTTGTCCAGAATGAAAAAAAAGACCTGCATTTAACATATATTAAGCGTGTTACTGGTAAACGTATTATGTAGGAACACCTGTGACAGTTTCAACTATACCGTTTTCAAGTAAGTAGATTCATTTGTTATAACGGAATCACGCAAACACTCTCGGGAGCGGCGTTTATCTTACACCGTGCTATAAATCATTCAAATTAAAACCTCATTTAATATAATCATGTCATTTATTTTCTTATCGGCTCAAGCAGTATCAATATGATTGCACGTAAGACGCGTATGTCGCACGTTACAAACACATTTTACTACATATCACAATATCTGGATCACTTGATAATAAAATCGGATTAAAGTTTAATTCCCACGCAAATGAATTATTTATTTGACAAGCTACATCTGTTTTTCTCGTAAACAGTCAGTACTGTATTTTCTGTATTGATCAATTCAAATAAATATATTATGCAGATTGTGTACATTTACGAACATGAATTTGTATATTATAGTATTTATTCAAACTATCAACGTTAAAAATCGACCATTAAGAGTCCCAGAATTTTAATGTAAAACAGGCAATCCTTTGTCTAGAACTGTTGCAATGTATTGAAACAAAAACATGCAGGTTGATCGTACATCTCGGAAATAACGTAGACAATAATTGAAGACAACGATTCTTGCAATTAACCTACAACTGGTGTATATTCGACGATTTTTAAGCATTAACATTGTTAGAGCTTGAGCTTGCTTTTTGTATAACCGTACATATTTTCATGTACAGACTTTTACATGCAAGTTATTAGTTTAACTTATTAGAACATAGTTTGCATTTTGCTTAGCATTTATGAAATCTCTCGTTAATAAAACAGTAACAAATATTTAATCCGTTTTTTAATTTAAATATTTTTATATCAGGTTTTGATTTATAGAATGTATGCACGTTTTAGGTGTTCTTGTATTATAACGAAATCCCATGTAAGAAAGACGCGCATATCGTTAAGACTTGAAAGTGATACTTTTATTTTAACTAGCTTTACCCGAAGAAATATAAAATGTATAAGACATATTTTTTTTTCATTTTTTTTGTGCCAATTGTTTTATCTAAAATGTATTATGTTTTTTTTTATTTACATACGCTCCAAGGTAAATACTCAATAAGTAAAACTTAGTCTTGATAAATTATCTCAATGCTTCCGCGTGTCTCTATAGTTATATGTAACACACCTTTTTCATTTTGCAATTATGAATTACTAAAATATTGCGACAAATATGTCATCTATAACGTAAACACAATACATGTGCAACCAAGTTTACTATTAGGAGGTGTAGTTCTACAACCTTATGCATTTTAGTGAACAAAATGATGAAATATTCTTATACATCATTAAGTACACTTTAATACTAAATATATTTTTTCGTGTTATGTGATACTTCTTTCACATTTTTCACTCGTAACTTGCTTAGGGCAATACCAATTTAGGACATATGTCTTGATGCTTTTTTTCTTCTTTTGTCACGAAAGATTCAAATTTATCACTTTCGCGGAGATAATCTAACATTTCACATTTCAAAGCACATTTGGTCTGATGGACCTGTTTTCAGCAATTGCAAGAACAAAAGGAATAAATAAATGAATAGATAAATAAATAAATAAAAATAGATAAAAAGCAATAAGCAATTAAATAAAAATAAATGAAAAAAAAGAAAGAAAACCAACAAAATAACAACAACAAAATAAATGAATAAATAAACACAAAATAACAACCTTTCTAACTTGATATATTATCACACACCGTTTTCCTTTTCAGCTAATGTAAACTAAAACATGTTGGTTCATATGACGTATATTCGATATTTTCATTTTTCTATAAACGTACGTCATATCAAAAAAACTATAAAATGTGCATTGTGAGCCATGGAAACAAAAAGAAGTAATTGAAAATCGCAAAATTAAGATAAAAAAAATCAATCGTGGGATCACTAAGTTAGAGTTCAATGGAAATGCCTTTTAACACCATATTCATGTTTCCTGTGTAACTAAGTCCCTTCAAGATATATAAGAAATTTAATGTAACATTATTATAGCGATACTTAACATTGTCATTATACACTTACATCATCAAATTTTGAAGTTTTCAAAGGACCTAAATAGACACCTACAGCATACAGTTTAGAAATATTTAAATTTCGTAAGATATACAATATTTTATACAATTTAATTAAAACTGAATTTAAATCTGAACTGGAAACCTACTTTGTTTGATTGATAAAGACATATAGCAAAGGTTAATATTTACAATCTATCTATCCAGAAAATTTATTGGATTTAATTACAGACAATTTATCTAGACCGTCTTGAGGTGTTAGTTCGACTTTTTATAATTCCATATTTACTGCAAACAATACCTATTTTAATATTGTTTTATCACTCTGCAATGATTTAATATACACGCACATCTAATCGTCTGATACGCTTCAAATTATATTTTATCCATTTTATTCAAACCACTTATACATAACCACTCAGGGTTTGAATCCCGACATGAACTCTTTATGTGATAAAGCTAGCTTACATAACGTACGTGGTTCTACTCAGGTATCCGTTCGTGCATGAAATAAATCTCCTGAGGTCTTCCTTCACCATTTAAGCTTGAAATCGCAATATAATTAGACATGCATTTGACAAAGCCACATTTTAGTGCGCAAACAATGCCAATTATTCATGGCAAGGTTATCTAAAAAAGAGAAAGAATAACAAATAACCTACAAATAGCAACAAAAACAACAACAACAGCAAGCGTTCATGTCAGCCATGATCGTATTTTATTCACAATATGTACTTTCTGTCTTATCTAATAAAAAAGTTATGCCTCATTTGACATCTTTAAGACCTATAATTTGTTTAAAATTGTATTTAAAGCTTTAAAAAGAAATTGTTGTTTCTTTAAACTATCTTCATTGTGTCTGGTAGAATTCATTATTGAAAGTATATTACCAAAAAACTTAGTCTTGTCGATTTTTGCTTGCTCTTCTAATATGGGAGTAATAAAATCTGTGAATGTCATTGACCTGGTCTGATGGTCTTTATCACAATTACTAAATTGCTCTTGTAAACATTTCATATCAACGTCTACATCTATTTTAAATATGGAAGTAAACCGCCTCCGTGGTCGAGGGGTTAGAGTCGATGACTTCTAATCCAGTAACCTCTCTGGCGTGGGTTCGATCCCCGGGAGATGCTTTGGTAGTTTAGCACGGAGGAAGGTAGTCTAGTACTGGTGTTACTCTTCAGGAACGATGGTTAGGAAACTACCCGCCTATATGACTGAAATACTGTTGGGAAAAGGCGTTAAATGAAACAAACAAACAAATATGGAAGTGTATTTGTATATATCACAAAAAGCCAAGCTTTCATTATTCATTTTAACAGAAGATATCTATATTCGTTAACAAATTACAATACGATATCGCGATGACGCTATATTTTCTCGAAGAAATATCTTATTATGCATTATTCCCGCATGATTTATGGCCAATGCATCTTAAATATCATTCATGACAATATTTTATTTTCCTGCAAAAAGCAATAACATATTTCTGCAAGGAATAGTATTACTATAAATATTCAAAAATACTTTAAAACGTTAATGTTTGCTGCATTCACAGCACGATCATACAAAACAAGGATTTATAAAAAAAATAACAGATGATTTGATTTCATCAACACAAATTCATTGAGAACCTGTTTCAATTGAGAAAATGCGTTTTTTTTTTTCATTAATAATATACTGTATATTTTTTTGCCTTTATACACTTCTTCAATTTTTAATCAGTTATATGGTATTTTAATTCAGAAAGTCGAGCATCCCGACATATTGCAGGTCGGTTATATATAGTGCACTATTTTTGCAATGTCCTGTTTTCGCTCCGCGGGGCGCAGGACGAAAACACGATTTTTTTTCAACAAAGACAACAGTACTTTCACACCGCGGGGCGAAAGGCGAACACACTATTATACGACAACACCAATACTTTGTCATATTTTTGTAATTTTACCTTTTGTTTTACGGGGCGCCGGACAAAAACACAAAAAACGACAATGTCACCACTTTTTCGTATCTTCGTGTCTTCGTTTGGAGTCCCGTGGAGCAAATGTACGACATGGCACAAATAAGACACCATAAGAAAGATAAACGTTTGCCTCACACATTCATATAAACCGAGGCGGCATGTATGCATGTGTTGTATCAGTTATTTAAGTAAATATTTAACGAAAAACGCCTTCATCTTTGATAGCAGTATTTAAATATAGAACTATTTTAAATTGATAACATGAAATTGTCAGAAATTGCGTTCTTTAAATATGATGTCAGGGTAAAATATCTAACGTTATTACCATTTTCTAATTTCAACATGTTTTTTGCGCTGTATAAAAAACAGCATCCTGGGAATATCATGTATGTAGATAAGAAGTATTGTGCAGCTTATCAAATACGTACACATCGATTTTAAAGTTCATGCATTGCATCAGATACTACATGTACAATTAAAGTGACATTGACATTCTAAATAGAAACAGCCGATGTGACATTAATAAATCAACATAAACATTTATTTACTAACTTTAAATGCGATATTTTAACGTCTGTATTAATACAACTAAAGTGTGATATTTCTACGTTAACATGGAGCCATACCGACGAGTGGCATTTCTACTTTTACATTCATACATTCAAAGTAACACTAGTATTTATAGTGTAATTTGCATTACACCAGCAGAAGTGACCCTCCTATCTTCGATACAGTTGACAGGAAACATCAAATAAATGAAATAAAATACATAACGTCATATCCACGCCACAAACCCAAAGATCTTCCATTTGACAACATTCTGAACTGTTTGCTACTCAATCAGACTATCTGAAAAGATGAATAGTTTTGTCCAGATTGAAAATGTTTTTTGTTTGTTTTGATTGGATTTTGTAAGAAGTAATTATATTAAGCGTGTTAGGGGTTAACGAACAATTCAAGTAGGAACACATGCGACTGTTTCAACTATGCCGGTTTCAAGGAAGTAGATTTATTTGTTATAACGGAATCACGCACACACTTGGGAGCGGCGTTTATCTTACACCGTGCTATAAATCATTCAAATTAAAACCTCATTCAATATAATCATGTCATTAATTTTCTTATCGCCTTAAGCAGTATCAATATGATTGCACATAAGACGCGTATGTTCACACGTTAAAAACACATTTTGCTACATATCACAATATCTCGATCAGTTGATAATGAAATCGGATTAAACTTTAATTCCCACGCAAATGAATTATTTATTTGGCCAGCTACATCTGGTTTTTTTCGTAAACAGGCAGTACTGTATTTTCAGCAAATTGATCAATTTAAATACATTGATTAAACAAAATGTGTTCGTACATAAAATGGTATATCAAAGTAATTTATTTAAACTGTGAACCTTAAAAAATCGACAATTACGACTCCCAGTTTCTTTTTAAATTTGAATTAGGCAACCCTTTGTCTAGAACTGTTGCAATGTATTGATTCATTAAAAATGCCGGTTGATCATACATCTCATTAAAAGACCTTTGGAAATAACGTAGACACGGATTAAATAAACGATTCTTGTAATCGACCTTAAACTGGCATATATTCGATGGTTTTTGCTTTCTGTTACACAGTGAAAATTATATATTTTTTGCAAAAGCTCTAGATATATACACAAGTTATTATTTAAACTTGTTAAAACATAGCATGTATTTTGCTTTTCATTTATGCAATAATTCGTTCATAGAACAGTATAAAATATTTATTCCGTTTGTGATTACACATTCTTATATCAGGTTGATTAACAAAATGTTCGCAAGCTTAACATGTTCATGTTTTAAGCAATTTCATACAAAACAGGTGCTCTGGACCTTGAGGGTTTTTCTTTCTATACTTTTCTATAAAAAGCAAGCTCGTCTAAGGCAATTGACACGTTAATCTCCCACTTAGGTCCTTCAAATGTTTTATTAATATCCTTAAATTGATCTCGCCAACGACCAACTGGAAAGTAAATATCACGTGCTCGAGCTCCAGCTTCCATTACAGGTGCAACCAGAAATTCATCTCCGACAAGAAACTCATCTTCACTCGTGAGGGCAACGTCATCATCAGGTGCAATCCACCAAAGGGGACGAATAATTGGTTCTCCGGTTTGTGTTGCAACGTTTGCATACTTCAGCAGTACATCAGAATACGTCTCGTGCATTTTCGTGAATTTTTGTGCTATCTTTATAATTGTTTCGTTATAAATCCATGGAACAATTGAATACTGCATGCTAGGTAGAAAAGTGTTGAGTTGTAACCAGCGGATATAGAGCTCTGGATCAGGCCGATTTTTGTACGCATTTCCGCCGATCATGTCTGGCAAAACAAACGGGTATCCTAAAAGGCCGTATGTAAAAACACACGGAATTATAGTCTTAAATGCGTTATCATGGCCCCAATTTGACATTTTATCCATCATTCGCACAAAGATGGGATGTTTCTGGGTCTTATAGCCAACCCTGACCTCTTGGTGAAAAGTTTGATCAGCCTTAGCGGCTAACTCTACCCACTTAATAGGGTACATCTCTGCTGGATTTAAACTCATCTTAGCGTTACTATAGACATGGGGTAGCCAAGAGGTTTCCCCTGCATCAAACTTGAAAGAGCTTATGTTGTACGTTTGTTTAAGATAGAGGAGCTTACTTAGAAACCAGTCAACTGCTGACTGATTTGAAACGTCAAGAATTGCTGCTAGTTTTCCGTCCCACCAAGGCGTTATTGCCGGAACCATGCTTTCGAACTGCCGCACCAACATAAAATTAGAACCCGCATAATAAAATGAGGTAGAGTCAACGTTGAAAAACGGATGTATCCATACTGTTACTCTGAATCCTTTTTTGTTCAAAGTCCTAACCATATCTGTTGCATTTTCAAACTTTTCTTTGTTAAAATCCATATCACCGTATGTTTTAGTCCAGTCGTCATCAATTTCAAGCTGCGCATGAGTGAAGTTGTACTTCAGAATATTAGAAGCGAATTCAAGCACGGTAGACTGATTAACATCTTTGTGATATTGTGCCCACGTTGACCAGATAGGATATTTGAAGAGATTGTGATCTGGGATTCCATTTGGTTTGTCGATAAACAAAGCTGACATTTTGCGATGGATATCAAGAGCGTTCTTGCCTTGACAAATATTATACTTAAGGGAGGGAAAAAAAGATCCATTATTGAAATACGGATATTGTCCGAATTTAGCCGTGAAGCACATCAACCCGTCATCGGGCTCATTTAGACTAAAGAAGAGAGGGACATCATGGTCAATGAAAATACCGACACCAGACGACGAAAAGAAATATCGTTCAACAACGCCACCAATTTCCCCAACGTACGAGTCATTCACCATGTAAGCAGACATTTTTCTTGAATTTTTCTGGAAAGGCCAATTTTGAATTTTATCGGCATACCCACCATACCAGTGAGCAGACGACACTTTAAAACAATGAGTCAGCTCTTGGTCGCTGCATCTAAGAGCTTTTTCAAAGACTTCATAACATTCAATTTTTGTATCAAGAGCAGGTATCAGTTGTTTCCAAGGTTTTATTTGAAGCATTGATTTTCCAGCCCATTCTAAACAAACGTCACTTCCGTTACACTCTGATACTTCCGATCCAGCTGCTCCTACTTTTGAATCGCTGTGGAAATGTCCTTCAAGTGCACGGGTTGAGTTTTTACGAATTTGAAAAGTCATATCGGCATAAACGAACATATCTGTTGCTATTCTAGGCCATGTGATTTGTCGTGGTCTGTTTTCTTGTACATGTATATTATCAAAATTGCCGGTTGATTTGATTTTATCAGTTTGCCAAATAACGATACCAATGGTAATGGCAAGCAATATAAACATTCCAGTGACCAAGATTATTTCGCGCCTCTTGTTTTCCTTGTCGTCTGCAACCATTTTGTACCTTTGAATAAAAGAAATACAAATAAAGAAACATTGTTTTGTTTTATATATAAAGCATAATAAAAAAAAAACAATCAAAAATCATGCAAGTCTGTAGAGAAAAAGACAAGTATGACTTAAAACATAAACTCTACTTATTAAAAACACCATTTATTAAATGTTACAATTAAATAAAGTTAATATAAAAGACCTACAATACTGAACAGTTCATGTTTTTGTTAATTAAGAGGTAACTTATTAATTCAATTTACAAAACATACATACCTTTATATCTGAAATTTTATATGAAAATTAAGATCTGCAGGTCACTTTAATCCCTACTTTAATATTTATTTGATACTCTAAGTACATACATAATAATTATCTAACTTGGCAATAAAGGAATTTTTTGCTTGTCTAACACATTTAATGTCGTACCATAAACCATTCTTATCTAAACGTTTAACTTTCCTATCAGGCCACTTTAGGCTCAAGCATTCCTGACATGGATTGATTGATATGCTGATTTATCTTATTATCTTTGATAGGCATGAATTTAACTTATACTTTACTGTGACCATGTTGTTTTATTATGGTTATTGATAAGATAACCGCTTTAACCATGTTTGCTTGTTTATCTTGTTGTTTTCGTCCGACTTTAAAGGAACTCCACTGTGGTCCAAAAGCCTAAAACATAGAATTTGATTTCTTGCATAGTTCAACCGAGGCATTTAAAATAGAAAGATATGCAAATGATAATTGAGAAATATACTCCGAATTTAATTTTGAATCGTATTATAGTATTATTTTAATCCGATTTGAGCGAAAAGCGTTGGAACGTTTTTTTTATATATATTTTCTTGTTATCTTTCACAATTAAAATATTTATTCTGGAAAAACACAGTGAGCGAAAGATCTGAAATTTTGCAAACAAGTTACTGGTCTACACCTACATGAAATATAATATTTATCTCGAAAAAGTATATCCAGTCTCGTCATGTCAAAAAACCTCAGTTGAGTCCCTTTAAAAACTGGTTAAGCTTATTGAGGCGGCGATCCACCTGACCGTCCTGCCAGGATTTCCAATGTCTACAGAAAATAGCAAAATCATTGATAAATTTGGTGAAACATGTTGCGTTGTTAAAGTATTTCAGTATATTTTAGGGACAGTTATACCTCTTTTTTGAACTGTTATCAGAGCTGCATTACTGGTACTGGTACTGCAGTACGTATTGCAGCGATTTTGCAAGTACGGGTACTGATATTGAATTACTCTTACAAAACTTTGCTACTACTGGTACTGGTGGTACTGGTACTGCATTACTGTCTTAAAATGTGGTACTGCTACTGCATTACTATGCAGTACTTTTGGTTTTGATAAAGTAGCACCAATTTTTCTCAAAATAAAGCTGTAAATTACAATATTATATTTTTGTGAAAAAAGTAAGTTATCAAATCTATAGATAATTTGCTGCAATATTCCTTCAAATGTTAACATAGTATTCATCATAAAAAAGCACCAAAGACTTTAAGTAAAAATTAAATTGAGATAAACAAATAATATCTTTAATAAAATGTCCTTATTATCCTGTTTTTTTTGTTTTCCCTGAGTACTTGCAATGAATCTTGTTGCTTCTGGTCTTCATAACGCCGCCTTTCCATGTGATATTGTTAACATAAAAATCTTTACTAATACTTATTAAAATTGTAACAGAGTGTAAAAGGCAAAAAATCACTGTATGAAATGTTTCAGTCTAAATTTATGCTATTACAATGATATGTGATTGACATAAAAAGTTGTTATTTTTTGGTAATAAATAACAAGTGTGAAAAGATGTTAACTAAAAGACTTATGTTTTAAAATTTCTTGTATAATAGTTGAAAATGTTTAACATGTGTATATTCAAACTTTGATGAATATATAAAAGTAATGGTACTGGTACTTAATTACTTCACCAAAAAAGTACTGGTACTGCAGTGCCGAGCTAAAATCTAGTACTGGTACTGGTAATGGTACTGCATAATTTGCCAAGTACAGGTACTGGTACCTAAGTACTACACGCTTAGTAATGATGCAGCTCTGGCTGTTATTGATTGTTATCATCGGAAATATACCAGCGGTCTTTTTCAATTCTAATACGTGTATCCAAGTAAAAATAATATTAAACTTTAATCTTAAGTTCATAAACATTTTTCAACTTTGACATTACTAGACATTAACGATTAGGCAATACCGAACGAAATATTTTTTTGCATGAATATGTAGTACTACGTAATTATTGTCTTATATCAGAGAAGAAGTGCACGTGTATTTTACATATTTGTCTGGCCTGACGCACGGTAATCGTCCTCTCTTGTCCTTTATAAAGACAGTTATTAAGGATATATTTTCCCCAGACAGTTTATTGTTGCTTATTAAGCTCAATACAACCAATTACACGTTATGCAGTACTTTAGCACTAATGGCAGATTGATCGTTTCTTCACTGATTTCTGAATTGATAAGATGGGACATTTTGAAATAGGAAATAAATGTTATGCTATATATGAAAATGCTTGCTTATTTGTAATTTAATATGTGAGTTTAGATAGGTCAAATGATAGTTAGAAACAGTTTGCCGTTAGGAGACGCCGCGTGCACGCGGAGGCTAGAAGATATGCAATTGTCCATTCAGCAATCTGGAAAACTTTAGTCTTGCATTTGTTTTTTAAAAAATTAAACTGTTTTAAGATTCTCTTATAGAAATAGATTTCTGGTGTACAACATGTCAGCGAGCTTTAAGGAAATAAAATAAACGTTTAACTTATGTAAAAGTGCCATGTTTGAATATTCTTTTTATTTTTTATCTTTTTTATTTACCTCATAAATAACGTGTCAATGAGTCAGTCTATATTCTAATGACAGGAACCAGGTTTGACAGGATTAAAATACGCATGTGAAATTTGTTTGGCGCAACAGACATATATTTTTGCAAAACAGGCACAATGTATGCTTATTCCTGAAAACAATTAATATTTAAGTAATAAAACAAATTTACTGAGTGAAAAAAGTAAATTGTTTTAAAATGTATCACAAATATTTGCAATAGGTTGTTTTAAAGGATTCTTTGCTGACAAAATAGCCGCGAAATGGATATAATCCTTGTTCAACGGAGATAAGTTTCTATAAAGGGAACAATGTATGGTTATAAATAACAATTATCAAACTAAAGTAAATTATATATACATGTATGAAATGCAGTATCAATGTTAAAGTTTGTTATAATTTTTATAAGAATTTTTATTTGAATGTTTTGGATGGTTATACATGCCTACTAAATGAACGTTTTCGGGATCTCAGCGCAACGGAGACACTTCAGTATAAATTAAAAGCACAATGAATGTTCATAGATTACAATTATCAAACTAAATTTTTTTCTATATATTGAATATAAAATGTCATTTAGGAAGTTTGTTTTAAAATTCAATTATGTAACACCAATCCTTTCACTTTTACATGTTATCCAAGTTATTTTCTGTCTATATCGCATCAATCATTTCAGACATGGAATTACTTTGTGAATTTATGTATTAGGTTCTAATTTTTCACAAAGATATACAACTTATTAAACAACGAGCACATACCAAGAAAAATTGATTAGTGCTTCAACTGTAATAGAGAACACTTGTCAAGGCCAATTTTGTAGATTACCTGTGTCTGTTCACATCATTTGGTGGCGTCTTTGATGTGCAGCATCAACATTTAACTTGTTGAATATTTGTTTTATTGGTTTGCACGACATGGCGTAAATCAGCCACCATAAACTCCAGAATTTCATTTTAGAAAACACAAATCAAAAACGCTTTGTCTTAACTCACATATGGACACATATCTATCGTGGTTTGTCTCTTCAAAGCCCGGTCTGTTTAAAGCGAATTTTAAAGATTTTACAAGATTCACATTTTTCAGAGTTTTCATTTATAGGTCTTGGTCATTGATCATCAATGTTTTATGTTTAAATGAAATTATCGTCAGTCTTAGACATTTCTATTATGTTGATAAATGGCGTGATGCGTAATGTTAGCTTTAGTTAGTTTTAAATCACACCTACACATTATAGGTCATATGACAACTTCACTGTTTTACTGGTGGAAAAGAACGCAGATGCGTTATTTCAGGCCAAACCTGGTCCCTGAGTAGAACCATTGACGTTCCGATAGCTTGCAGGATAGCTTTGTCTCATGAAAGAATACGAAGACGCTTGTGCAGTTGGCGGTGAGAGGCAAGTGGTTTAAAGTCAACCACCTTAACTCACCGGCCACGGACGTCCAACCATGTAGTAAAATGAACTGTATAAGAAAGAAAAACATGTTATGTGAAAACGAAAAATGCATACAGTCAAAAATATATACACAGTCATTGAAGAGCCAGTTTTATTTTAGATGATGATATCGTTAATTGAGAATTCGCTCTCATTTTGTTACTTCAATTGGAAGGCTTGCAAATATGTTATTGTCATCTTTTCTAAGTCAATACCCTTGTGCGTCAATGTGACAATAAATAAAATTTTCTATGTTTTTAGTTATTAGTAAGCGTTTCTGCATAGCTTAAATTTCACTTGATGCTGATTTTGAGAAGCCAATCATAGTAAATATATATTTAAATACGGAATGAGATTTACCTGCCTTAATTTACCAGATTAAGTCTCTTTAATTCTTCCGAAAAAAGGAGCCCTTTTTACCTGATGTGTAGATGGTTTGTTCATATGCTCTTCTTTATTATAAAATGTACTAAACCTAATCTAGATAAGAACCGTGTGACAGTTTACACACATCTCATGATAAAAGATATACGGTAAAAAATATTTCTGTGCCACTACAACACATTTTAGGACTATTATTTGAACCTCCTTGACATAGATGGACATGAGAAAGCGCAATTCATGTATTGTGTTGCTAAAAATACAAATTTGCAGTAAATGTAACATGAGAGGAGATGCACGTGACTTTTATCCTTGTTTGTCCAGACGATTTGTAATTACACTTTACAGACACGTGAACATGTTTTGCAAACTAATCTTATAATATTTTCCAGACGGTTAATATATCTTTATGAAACCCTCACACTTTATAAAATAAACCAATGCACTTTCAGCATCTACACCGCGTGATGTTCAAATAAAAATCATTATTGGATCCAATTTTATCAATAAAGCATCCTTTTCATTTTAAGAGTGCAAAATATCTATATCAAATCCATATCACATCCCATATAGCCTCGTTTTTATTTTCAGAGTCAAAAAGGTTAATATCAATATCACACCATACAGCCTCGGTTTCATTTCGAATACATATCGCACCCTATCTAGCTTCGATTTCTTTCTCTTTTTTTTCTTTTTTTTTTTGAGAATCCAAAATATAAAGCAATTCCTTATTGCAATTCAATGAAAATGTC